AGCTATATATATATATATATATAAAAAAAACTTGCTTTACAAAGACCCGATCATAAGCTGGTCCAGAAACCACATAAGCTTGTACCTTTTAAAAAAACAAGCCAGCACTGGCTGCTCTCATATTTCCATCTTGATTAGTTTCTCTTAAGCCAAAAGTCTTAGCCTGGCCTTCGGGTACGCAAGAGTATGAGGTCCAATGCAGGAGGAAGATCTACCACATTCCTGAAACCAAATAAAACCACCAAGGCTGCACAGAAGGCATCACTCCACCACCAAATACAGATAATAGGGAAACCAAAATGACAACATATGTAAGAAGTAGTCACCTGATACTGCAGGAACAGGAGGGACCTCCTGACCATCATTTTGTACAGGAAGGTCTTTCTCATCCTCCAGTTTGACCTCTCGAACACCATTAACAACATTGGTTTCGATAGGCTCTACTGAATCTTCTGCTGAAGGAGTCTCCTTCACTTCAGGAGGTTCAGTTTCTGCCACTGCACACTCCTCAGTCTTCACTTAAAACAAAATTAAAGAAAAAAAAATGTAAAATACTACACTCAGATTTTATTATCTTTTACCTGTATGATTAACAAGCTGCTTACCTTCTTGTTCCTCTGAAGCAGCACACTCCTGTGATGGTTCTGTTGTCTCAACAACAGATGGGGTAACCTCCATAGCACTGTGGTCTTCTGGACTCTCACTTGGCTTGCTATCCTTTTCCTCCTCAGCTTCCTCCTCTTCAGGAGGCGGTGTATCCTTGTCAGATGCATTTTCTTTTTTTGGAGGCACATCTACAGTAACATTTTTTTCTGAAAATGACAACCAAATTCCATGAGCACACTGATGCATTTTACCAACTCACCGCCATCTCCGATCTAAGCATTTCCCCAACTTCAATAAAAAAACCTGAAATCCATGAATGGGAAACACATGTCCCTGCCCACAGTGCTGCACTAGTGCCCTAGCAGGGACAAAGCACTGTTGCAAGAACAAAGCACTGTTGCATGCTGGGAAGGGGGTTTGTGGAGTGTGCATGACCCTATATAGGTTTAACTCAAGCAAGGTAAAACTTCTAAAGATGGCAGAGGCCAATGGTGGATTAGGGAGTGCAAGTTAGTCCCTCTTGTAGAATGAGCCATCACACCAACAAAGCTAAAGCCATGGAACATTACATTACCCATGTCACATGCAATCAGACAGAGATAGCCAATGAACTGCTTTGTCTGGGCCCAGAAAAGGCCTTCTGGCAAAGAGGGTGCAGAGAGCTAAAGATGTAATATTTAGAATACGGTTGAGCCTACTTTAAAGTGTACCTGTACTCAGACCTTACAGTGCAGATCATCCGAAATATGCACTTGGCCTTCTCTACTACAGAGAGCCCGCAAAAAGTCCTGTGCAACTTCTGACTAATTAGATGTCCTAATCATATTCCACAATGCAATGCTTTTCAATTTGCCGCTGAAATGCATTGTGCTGTAGGATTTGGAGTCTACTGTGTACTAAAAATTAAGGGTCTTTCCAGATCACCAAAATCAACAATTTAGAATATAGAAGCATGCAAACCAGAATCTGAACTGGTGAGCAAGACAAGTCTGTGCCCACCCTCTTCAGTACATCATGCCGACTGACAAACTCACAGAAATAATAAGTCTTCCCTGCATCTAAACTTGGGTTTGTGACCAGATTAGGGACATTGGTTTGTGAACACCTTGGCAAGCACAATATTTTACAGCTATGGCACCATAACCGATAGGTAAATGTATTCCTGCATCAATCAGGAAAACTTGGAAAAAAAAATAAAAAATCACACCAACTTGTTTTTTTAGTGTTATGGTTAAGTGGGATAAATAGTAGACATGTACACCAGCAAAAAATTCGTTTAGTTTAGTTTCGTTTTTCGAGTCCGAAATTAAATTAGTTTCGGACGAAATTAGTTTATGAAAAAAAACAAAAACAAAAAAACTTTACTCTCCAATGGCTGGACTTGAACTTCACATTGGCAATCACTTGCAAGCCTGTACCTCTATCCACTACTCTATAGCCTCTGTACTGTAACCAGTGAAGCATTTGATATACATGACTGCAATATGTAGCAGTTGACAGCTGAGGATGTCAATCATTTTGCTGCAACAGAATTCGCCCAATAACTAATTTCGTTGCGTCAAAATGACATTAAGGTGAACAAAAATGAATCCGAAAATTCGTCCAAAACGAATTTCGGAACGAACCGAATCGCACATGTCTAATAAATAGGTGTCAAACCGCAAGTGAACATTACTTCACACTTACTTTTTTCCAGACGTGGCCGCTTAGGACGAATTTCAGAGCCAATAGAGATTTTTCTCCTGCGCAGTTCCAAAGTTACGGGTTGAAGGGTCTGTGAAGAAGAATCTGGCAAGGAAAAAAAATAAAATAAAAATTAGGAGAAAATACTTGAATCCCTTGCCAATAAATACACATATTTCAAATAAGTTGCCATGTGTAAGCTCAGAAATGGGACCTGGCTACAGCTAGCACCTTCGGGATACAGAGATTATATCACATATGCATGATTCTTGGTCATGTGATCACCACTTCCAATCACGATGACCACAGAAAAGGTGGTGATGACCACCAGGGGTAGCCAAACTCCAGCCCTCCAGCTGTGGTGGAACTACAAATCCCATGAGCCACAGACATGACTCCCAGGGAGAGATGCTCCATGGGATCTGTAGTTTCACCACAGCTGGAAGGCCGGAGTTTGGCTACCCCTGACCTAGACTAAAACTAAAGCTGTGTACACATGCTTCGAATTTCGAACGCATCTTGAGAAACCGGCCAAAATTAACTGTGCGAGTGCCACTGTTGCCACCCTTCCACCCAGCATCCCTCGATCAGCTGATTGAAGGAGCTAGTTGGAAAATGATCAGCCTGTACAGAGCTAGCAGCCAATCAGCTGCTAGATCCATTCAGGTATTTTGACAATGGCCAACGGCTGCTATCAGAATACAAAAGGAAATGGTGGGGGATTCCATGACCAACGCTGGTAAGCGTAGTAATTTGGCTCGTGGGTTGAAGGCAAAAATAAAAAATTAAAAAAAAATGGAACTCTGTATACCCAGCTTAAGAGTGGAGCATCATCTGTTCCACCAATGTCACAACCCACCGAGGAAAGAAACAAAAAACACCATACATGTCTCGCTTCTGAATCATAAATTTCGGAATAGGTACATAGAAGAAACGTGAAAACTGCTCTGAAACTCATCTGGTAATGAAGAATTGTGTGACCCATCCCTTGCCCACTCCAACACTCGCATTAAATTAAAATGGAGACCTCAGACCAGCCAAATGCTGACTACTTTCCACTGATTGCGTCACAGAGCTGGCTAAGCACTAGAAGGCTTCATCGACTAATGTATGAGCAGCCCAGCAAAGCCTATGAAGCTCACCAGTGCAGGTGCAGTACTGCGTGCTCTATAGAAAAGGGGACGGGGGTTATAGATTTCTTTGAAATTCCATTTGAAGATCTTTTCTAGGACAAATGCTTCTCCTTTTACCTGTCCAATCACAGGCTGGGGGAGTGAGAAGACCTGCAAGTTTTTTTGTAACTTTTCCTGCAGGCCATATGCGGCAGGACAGCAATGGGCTTTAACGTCATGCTGCCACATATATGCATACCGCCAGCATCACTGTTCTGTACTTGGAGCACGATCAACGGCATGCCCCCAGCATGTTTTAGTGGTGTCAGCCCCACCGAGTTGTTTTTTTAGAACTACTACACTTTATGTTTGGGGATGAGGAGCGTGAGTGGGTTTGAAGAGTTTGTTGTCCCAAGAGAAGGACAGGCTAATTACTCTACGTGAGATAGCAAAGTAAGATCTGGACACAGCTCTGAATTTCTGATAGAATCAATGGGTATTGGATACATACATGTTAATTGCAGCAGAGATAAAAGGTTTTCTGCGCTGCCAGTCAGGATTGTGTTGTGTAGCAGAGCTGTAGAAATCTCAAGAAGGGATTAACAGAAATATAAATTCTTTAGCAAGTAAAAAGTGTGTGTTTCGCCATTTGCCTGGTGACCAGCTTTAATACAATCTGGAACCAGATGCTTCCAACCATTGGAATATTTGACGTTCAAATTGAGTACAAGCTACCAAGTCGATCAGTTTGGCTCAGTCACCTACCAGATGATGGCAGAGAAGTTGAACGTTCACGCTTCCTCCTCCGCTCTACGTTGTCATGCGGTGCTTTCAGGTTGTCATTCTGACCGCTCTTCTCCTCCGTGCGCGATTCTGTGGAGGATTCCCTCTCGGTCTCAGATATGTTTTCTTTGTCCTCTTTCTCATTTTTCAAGTTCTTCTCCGGGAGCTTGGTTTTTTCAGCAGCAACTGGCTTTTTGTCCTTCTCTGGCTGGGGTGGCTTCTTATCTGTGCTGTGAGGTTTCTCTTTCTCTATGGTGGCGTTTTCTGAAGATTTCCTCTGCTCTCTAAATTTGCCCCTGTACTTATCAGAAGGTGAAGTGCTTTCTACGGTTTTCTCCTTTGGCTTTGTATGAGACACATTAGCCTGAAAAGACAATGTTGGTCAAAGAGTGCTCCAAAACTAAAAACACAAAAAAGGCAAAGAAACACCACCATACTGCACAAAAGAGGTGTCTTGTAACAGTAATGACCTCAACAGACATTGTCTCACAAAGTTAAACAGTTTAATCCCGTTATGGATTTATAATATATTAGATGATTAAAGTGTATCCAAAGGATAGTGCAGGTAAGCGATAGATCTTATTTGATGTATATTGCCATTTTCCCAATGGGTAGATTCACTCTCATTGGCCCCCCCCCCCTTAGGATCCTTACTTAACCTCCGACATTGGCTGCCTTCTATGCGGCCTACAGCCTGGGCTGAGATGTACCTGTACTGTAGAAGCAGTGTCCTATTATGGGATGTTCGAGTGCAGATGCAGGCAGACCGGTACTAAATGTGTACTGGTTGGATTGTAGACAGCATAGGAAGCAGCAACCATCAGAGGAGCCAAGCAAGATTTTGCAGGGGGAAGGACAAGGACAGGGAGCGTGAAGGCTGCGGCACACTGCTTTGCACAGTACTGATGTGCCTTTTGCAATGACACGGTCAGTTTACCCTGTATGGACAAAGTGGCATTGTCTCTTTATAGCTGCGTCTGGCAAAATGTGAATTTTGGTTCAGGGGGATGCCTGGAGGTTGTGTAACCCCTCTGGCTTTTTATATCCCTTGGGAACTCTAGAAGGGGGACTGCACTTGTGGTGCCCATAGGGCAAGAAGCCTTAACCTAAGCAAAACAAAAGTGTCTTGCCTTTCCAGCTGAAATATCTATAACCAAAAACAGAACCCAGCAGTGACAGGAAGACCTTTTAAAAAAAAAAGGACCATTCCAACATGAGAAATCCAAGCAGATGGGTTTGCCACGCCACCAGCATCCACCTTAAATAATGGTTTGCTTGTGCTCATTAGTTTTCTACACCATTCACCCCCTGACACCACAGAATATTTTACCATAAGTAGAAGTGGGACCTAAGTGTCTAAAGACATTTATTGTATAAACATTCTTATGACTGCTAAAATTGGTGCATATCCATCTTGCCAGGATATAATATTGTTGTTTTTTTTCTTTATTATAGCCCACTCTTCTGAAGAGTCTTTGTTTAGACTTACCGTTCGTATTTGACCATAATGCCAAGCTTAAGTGCATTGTACCGAAAGATCTGAACATTAATGAAGGGAGGGAAGGAAACCCAAACACACTCTACCCCAGCAGACTTACCTGATCTTTAGAAAAGGCCTTTACGTGAATATTTTTGACTGTTTGAACAACACCATCAAAAAATTTAACAGTATAAGTGCCTAAAACAAAGAAAAATCAAAAGTTTAGTGGAAGTGATCACATTTGGATTCCAAAACACACTTCAGAATAGACAACATGGAAGAGTTAGAAAGGTAGAAGAACTTAAGTTTTTAATAACCTGGACCAATTTTAACAACTACATTTGTATTCTCCAGTCTTACAATCATACAATAGAAAATAAAAATTGTTATTTCAGTTACTTTTTCTTAAAAATATTTGGTATACAGGTTTGTGTATTACATGACCACAGCTTTAAAACGCAACTCTTTTTTTTTCTTCTTAAGTATACAGTAGGTAAGAGCTGGGTTCACACCCATGTGGTTTTCCTTAACGCTGCAATGAACTCTGTATTAATTGTGCATCGTGATGCATATATATGCGTCATGGAGCATCTTAATGCATGTGTTCCTATTGAGCTTAATTGAAAATGCATCAAACGTAAAAGGCGTGAATCCAGCCAGTATGTCAGGTTTTTATTGCGTTCTTCATCCCCCACTTCTTATTCAAGGGACAGAACTGTCGTCTACCTTCTAGTTGGTGTAATAGTCTTTACATTCTATCCCAATGTCAATGGTCACTTCTCTTTTGGATCACAGGAATACATTACCTATTGTAACACTGTGACCCACAGTCAGCTGATAGCAGGCTTCTGCCCAATATCAGCTGAGAGCATAGAGCTTGGGTGCAGTTGACAAATATCCCGATAATGACCCAGCCCGGCCTCTCTCTGCCCCTTCCCCTTTCTGCAGCTCCAGTGAGTGTTGGACAAGCAGAGAGGGGAGGGGGAATCCCTGCAGGGATCAATGACTGACAGGCACTGCTCTCCACTGGGAGAAAGGACCAAGAGCTGACCGATCATCAGTTATACGATCGCTCAGCTCTCCTTGTGAGAGCCAGTGTGGGACAGAAATTCACACTGCAAATACCCAAATTTGACTCCCGCAGCCCCGGCAGAGCAGAGCTCAGGCTGGGTAAGGGTAATGCAGCACAAGGAGCCAATTAGTTGTGCTGCAATGCAATGTGTATGTGGAATGGAGAGAGCAGAATGACCAGAGCAATGAGCTCATCAGTTTGCTGCTTCTCCGTTCACTATCCAGCCACGAGCAAGGGGAGCGACAAGACCTACAAGTATAACTGAACTACAAACCAAGACAAATCAGGTCTCCTGTTTGCCAAACAGATTTGTATAAAACCTCAAGGATGGAAAGACACAGAAACACAGGTAAAGCTGCTCCCTTATGTGCATTTCATCAATGTATGTATGATGCTTTTTTTGCATGGAGTTCAGCTTTAATTCATACAAATAGTAAAAGATTAGTAGCCGGATGTACAAGGTGCACGACATTATTAGAATTGATTCGGGAAGACAAGAAAGATTGCCCTTACCATCCTTGTTTACAGATGTTATTTTTGCTGGGTAGAATCGGCAGTCAGACCAACAAGCCAAGACTTGTTCATTCACACGAAACACCTACACACAAAAACAGTACATAGTGATTTCTGATTGGATCCCTAGAGACTGGGGAGGGACTTGAAATCCACACCCCTATTTCAAAGTATTACAGAATATAGTACAAATAAGAGAATTGGGAGTTTCTAAGACTAGAGTTCTCCATCATATGTAAAATTTAGGAATGCACCGATACCAATACTAGTATCGGTGCCGATACAGAGTATTTGGGCGAGTACACCAATACCTTTCCCGATACTGGAACTACCGGTCAGAGGGAGATTTCCTGACCGGGAGCGCCGCGAGGGAACATGGAGTCAGGAAGCTGGCTTCATGCTGTTTGGCCTGGAAGCCGGCTTTCCAGCCAGTGTCGAGCCAGGCAAACAAATCTGATATGGCGACACGACCCCCCACCCTGCAGACAAATCATTCCCCTCACATAGATCCTTAACAGCAATCATTACCGTACCAGTCACTCGGCCAGCTGGGCGGACACCGCTCTCCCCAATCTGCCCACGTCTCCTTTGTGCACAGCGCCAACGTGATCGGCCCTCAGCCTGCTACCGCGCATGCACAGGATTTCTGAATGAGAGCGCTGGGCAGTCTGCTCATCACGTGGGCGCTGTGCATACAGGAGAATGAAGGACTGGTAATGATTGCTGCGAAGGATCAATGCGAGGGGAATGAGGTGACTGCTGGGTTGGGGGTCGTGTCACCATATTGTCAGATCGGTTTGGCCGGCCTCGATGCAGATTGGCTGGGAAGCCGGCTTCCTGGCCAATCAGCATCGAGCCGGCCAAACATAATGGAGTCAGCTTCCCGGGCAATAAAGAAGCCGGTTGGTAATGACATGCCCGGGAAGCCGGCCCTATGCTACCGGAAGTACCGAAATATAAATATCGGTACTCGATACCGAAAAACCGGTATCGGTGATCCCTAGTAAAATTACTTTATATTTAAAATAAAATGAAAAATTGCTTACCACAGGGGGGTCCTCTTCTACCAGGCCTTCTCTTCTTAGCTGTATCTTCTCCAAGGGACGAAGGTATGGACTGTCCCAGCAAAACCATTCATCGTATCTGTGATTCCATCGTTTAAAATGGATCAGCACTTTGCCTTCTTCATAGTCTATCTCTTCGATATGAGCGGCATACCTGAAAAGCCAAAACATTTCCTTGTCATTTTAGCTGTTAGGAAGGCCTCAGATTACTGCAGATCTACATTTTAGGCCAACAACGCCTACCATTTCTTCAGTCTATCACGTGCTTCCAGTTGTGCTCCAACTTCAAACGTGATCCCTCTTCGGTTTGGTGGGTGCTTAGTCATTCTATACGCTGACCTTTATCCAAAGCCATTCAAGCCTGAAGAGCAGAAAAACTCAGGTTAACAGTATGTATCTTCCAGTGAAAACACTACACGAGCCTTAGGGCTTTTTATAATCATTTACTGTAATAGCAAGTCAATTCCAAAGTTGTTCCGGGATAACACATGTCCTATTGTTGCCGCTTTACCATACTGCTGTGCAAACAAAATCAATAGATATTAAGGTGCTGTGATACAATTACAACTGTGTTCTGAACATACAGATATTGCATTTTATAGCTTAACTGAACTCAATGCTGTGCCAAAAAAGGCAGACAGGGGGGCAAAAGACCAATATTGCCTATGGTAGGGGTAGGCAAACGCCATCCCTTCCATCATGCCTCTGGCTATCAGAAGCTTGCAATGCTCCAATGGGATTTGTAGTTCCACATCAGCTGAAGGGACAAACTTTGCCTACCCCTAGCCTATGGTTTTCCTGCAGCTTCCCTCTCCCTCATTACTGACCAACCATGCCTTGTTCTGCACCATACAACACTGTATGGGGGCAGCCATCTCTGTAGAGGCAGGGCTTTGCTTTCCAATGTCAAAACATTCAGCAAGGAGAACAGTGAGCAGCATAGCAGTGACATCGCCAAATCTCACTCCACATCTCCTGAGACTATCAACGGGGTAATGACTAACAGGCACTGCTCTCCACTGGGAGAAGAGGCCGAGCGCTGACCGATCAGTTATATGTTCGCTCAGCTCTCCTTGTTAGAGCCAGTCTGGGACAGCAATTCACACTGCAAATACCCAAATGTAACCCTTCCAGCCCCTGCACAGCTCAGACTGGGCAAGGGTAATGCAGCACAAGCATGCATTGCAATGTATATGCGGAATGGTTACTGACCAAACATGCCTTGTTCTGCACCATACCACTGTATGGGGCAGCCATCTTGGTAGAGGCAGGGCTTTGCTTTCCAATGTCAAAGCATTCAGCAAGGAGAACAGTGAGCAGCATAGCAGTGACATCGCCAAATCCCACCCCACATCTCCTGAGACTAGCAGCCAGAGGCAACAGAGCCTTAGATCTCACACTGCGGATATAGAACTATGAAGCTATAGGTATAGGAGTGCCCAGGCACACTTACATACCAGGAACACACTGCTATTTTTCAAGAGGAATCCCAAACCGAACAGAACACAATTTTTTATGGTTCTGTTTAGGCAAAACCAACATTTAAATGTTTCCTATAACATAATTTCTGCTTTCAGTTGATCTTTATTATGTAGCTGCACTTTCAAAGCAAACATTCTTTCCCTTCCCCCCCACCCACAACACACACACACACACACAACTTTTTAAATGATTCCAGAAACAAAATATCCAGCGACTAGAAACACTGCACTTTGCCTGTAATCATGACAGCAGAGTAGATGGCGGTATGTGCCCTGCTAAAAAAAAACAAAAAAACACACAATTCAGAAAGCTTAAGGGCTTGTTCACACCAAATGCAGACCAGAATTGCATGAGTTTCTGCACACATGCAGTGCAGTGGGATTTGCTGCGTTTTACATGTATAAAATATGTATGTATGTATGTATGTATTTTAGTTTAGAATGGGCTTTGTGCGTCCTAGTGAGTTTGCATGCGTTCAAGAGCAGGTAAAATAGGCTTGCTGCAGTTTCTTTCTACATGCTCTGGAACTGAACGCTGCGGTGTGAACTAGAGCCCAAAATACAATTGGAATATATTGGACGCAGTTTTGATCCGGTCTGTAACTGCTCTGCTCCTGGAACGCACTTGGTGTGAACAAAGCCTTAAACACCCTTCATTGGCACACATCTACAAAGACTAGTCAAAACATTGTACGTGCTATTCTGTTTGAGTAATGTGCATGCTAGCTTCCTGTGTAATATATGGTCTCACCTCCTCCTAGATATACTTTATGAAAGCCAAGTTTACTTTTTTGACCATGTTTCATGTTACACCCTGCATATGGTCACATTGCAACACCCAACCCTTGCCTGAATCGTGGGGTTCCTCTCCACGCAGGCCAGTGTTTTTTTGGTGCGGCTGTGCATGGCTTCGTCCACACAATTGTGTCATCCATTCACAGATGACAGGACACCACAGCAGAGGCACTTATAGTTCTCAAGGAATACAAGTGTAGTGATGTCACCGCACTTGTATTCCATTCGTTATTCCTCCCATCCAGGTTACTGAATGTCCGCACTGAGGTATGGACATGGGTGGGAAGGAAAATTTGCAGGATTGCAATACTTTACTGGCACTAATGCATGAACTAAACGCAAATTTTTTTCTTTTATGAAGATGCATGCATTTATTTTTCTAAAAGGCGGACTATGCCTTTAAAGGCATATACTACACAATCATCAGTGACGGCACCACTTCCTGGTCAGACATTATCGTAGTAACACGTTCTAAATTTAGGCATAATCTACAGCCAAACAATGCCTACATTCTAGTGCGTAAAGTCTGCGCATGGGACTCTCAGTGGGTCACATTTCCTGATATAATCTCAGGTTTTACACTTTCTGAAATGTTGACCTAAAAAAGGAAATATATTGTGGTTACCGGCCGACTTCACCAGCAGTTCATTCCCCTATAGATCCTCATTCCCAATGCATTAACCTTCAACTGATTCTTGAAGGTCGCGGTATATTGAAATGTGGTATATTGTGGAATTCAGTGGCAAAATAAAAAAAGGTATCAGTAAGGAACCCCATGAATTAAGGCTCCATACACACACACACACACACACACACACAGCGGTTGTAAATTCAGGGCGGTTTTCCACGTGTTCGTCCGTGCAGCACAAAAATGTGCAAATTTTAACAAACGCACGGATTCCGCACCTTTGCCGCTACTACTATAACCGGAATGTGTGAAATCGGGCAAGAATATCGCGCTTGGACTTTTATGCTTGACCGACACAGGTGTGAACAAGTACTGTTCTACAGAACTAATACATTGCACTCTATTGGTATCTAGGTTTACAAGCACGTGCGGAAAACCGCTAATGTGTGAACGGAGCCTTAGGCTGGGTTCACACTTGGCGTATCGAATAAGCGCGTTTGGTGCCTCGCATTTTTACAGCGATTCGTGGTTAAAAAAAAAAAGCACAAACGCGCGTTTACGAGGGCTACCTGGCTGTATCCCAATGGATACGCGTGGAAAATACGCCCCAAAGAAGCTCCTGTACTTCCTTGGGCGTATTGCAGCGCGTTCCTACGCGCTGTAAAACGCCCAGGTGGGAACCATAGGCAATCATTGGTTTTCACATGTTGAGCGTTTTACAGAGCGAAGGAACGCCCAGGTGTGAACCAGGCCTTAGACCAGATCTGCATGAGTTTCTGCACACGCAGTGCAGTGGGTTGTGCCGCGTTTTTTAAAAAAAATAAAAAATTTAATGTTTTTTTGTGTGCCTAGAATGGACTTTCAGTGCGTTTATGCATTTGCATGCATTCCAGAGCAGGAAAAAATAGGGCTTGCTGCAGTTTTTTTGACATGCTCTGGAACTGAACACCGGTGTGAACTAGAGCCCAAAATAGCATTAGAATACATTGGACGCAGTTTTGATCCGGTCTGTAACTGCTCTTGCATATATGTGAATGTAATCATCTTATAAAAATCCCCGAGAGTATATTATAGCGTATAGAAAATGTAGGAGATCTTGGCTGGACCTAGAGTTCTAACCCCCAATATGATATCACCGCCATCCATTGCATTCATTCAGCCCACTCAATATAATGGGCTGGCAACACACCAGAATGGACAGTGCGCAGCAACACGTGTCTTCATGTGTTGGGATGCCATTGAAAATGAATGTGCATGTTCCTGCAACACACCATGATCCAAAAGTTTGTTTCTGTCCAAGGGAAGTTTATAACCAATGTCAGCAATTTATCTTTGCTGCATCGCCATTGCAGATTTTCCCCAACAGCTCCTGCCTGTTGACACCACTAACAATATACATGCAGGCTCTGCTTCCTTCTTAAGGCCAGAATCACACTTGCGCGATCAGTGACCGCGCGGCAATCTTGCATGAAACCACTAGCTTGCGGTGCGGTCAGTGTCACACACCGCCTCTGATCACGCTGGTGGTGCCATTCATTTCTAATGGCACCCTAGTCGCACCGAGCGGATCATAAAGTTTCCCGTCATTATTCTGCCTGTGTAATCAATCATGATTGCAGCTAAAAGGTGTGCGTCGCAAAAAAAAAAAAAAAAGGGGAGGGGTACATGTCCATTTTTTCCCAGCAAATACCTTCGGATGTAACCAGACTGAAATCAATGGGGCCACGCAGCAACCGCTCTGTGCAAGTGCACACGATTGCGCAGTGCCGGGATCGTCCAAGTCTGCACCAGCCCAGACAGTGCTGCAAAATGCCTGCGCCGTGGCTGCTCTCAGTGCAAGCAGCGCTTTTCTGCTCATGTGCATAAGGCTTACTCAGCACTGACCACTCTGCATACAGTTACCACTTTGCCGTACAAAAACCACCACCACCATACATCGCATAAGAAATAAGTCTAATCAAAAAGTATACAATTATCTGCAGATTTTTTTGGCCAATCAGAATAGGATATGATCGCTATTTTACAAACACAGTGTCCAGGTTTTGGGGGTCCCGGATCTCTCTGCAGTGAGCACCAGAAGGTACAGCAACACACTACATATGGCAAGCACGTGCATAACGCACACACAGCACGGAACCATCAAATGTAGTCCTTCATTCACCGAAAAGCCAATATACAGCAATCCTACTCCATGGAGGCTCATCGATGCATCATCTGCCCCCAGGATCTGACTAATGGAAAAGATGACACTAAACTGGAGGCCCCGGGAGAGCACTAGAGGTCCATTTTATGTGTGCAGTAGATAGAAGTGCAAGCCCTAAATGCTCCGAAAGCACGCATTAGTATGAGTTTCCCAAGCAACTGCCACTAGAATATGCTGACCTCAGAAATGCAATGGGTCAGTGAGTGACGACCCCCCCACCAGAGTGAAAACAAATTAGTCAGGTGCTGGTCTAA